CTACCGCCTGCAGTGCAATGATAATCCTGTAGATGGCAGAATCCAAGTCTCAAATTATAAATGGGTTGTTAGGCTAAGTATTGATCATGTTGGGGGAGGGGCCACAAATGTGTGTAGTAAATATATAAATGGTGATCTAGGGTTAAGATGAAGAATGGGTTGGAGCATTTTTATGGCTTCCAGTTAAATCTAAGGTTTGTACCAAGTGCAAACCTTAGATTGGGCATATTTGATTCACATCAATCACATATGCCTAAATAAAGGATCTGTGTAACGATGAGCCCATTGTTTGTCTTTTTTTATTTACTTGTGGGAAAAATAACAGGGAAGTTGGATTTTCTTTTTTTTGTCTGTGTGAATTGCATTTCACAAGAACCTGATTGCAGAAATCTAATTCTTCTAGTTCCCTCCCACCACAGCACCTGTTTTAACCACAGAAGAAAAAGTTATATCCACTTAATGTCAAGTCAAGCTGCGTCATCATTTCATTTTGTTCATAAGAATCACAATAATCATCAGTTTTCATTGAATCAAAATTACAGTTAAAAATAAAACTGGTGACCTTTCCTACAGAGGACACCATCTATGGCTCGTCACAGTCGTCGTGCTCCCTCAGTGGCAGAATCTACAGCAGAATATTTTGATGCCAGTGAGGTGATAATGTGTGAGACCTCCTCAGAGGCAGAGGCATCAGATGAGTCTGGATTGAGTGACATCACTACTACCAGCAACTCTGAGCCTGAAGAAGGTCACTGTAAGTTTATTTATTCCCCCACTCCATTCTCAAACAAATGCTACTGTTGCCATTTATAGCTAATCTATAGAACAGTGTTTCTCCACCCTGGTCCTCACTGCCCCCCTGTCCTGCATGTTTTAGGTATTTCCCTTCTGCCACACACCTGAATTGTATCTCTGGGTGATTAACAGGCTTCTGCAGCACTTGATGGTCATTCAATCATTTGAATCAGCTGTTCTGGAATAGAGCCACATCTAAACCAGGCAGAGCAGGGGGGGCTGAGGACCAGGGTTGAGAAACACTGATCTAGATGGTAATAGAGCCATAACATCCCCTCTCTTTAACCTTTTTCTCCTCTTTGTAGCTGCTGCCACTCTGAACTACAGAGAGAGTCTAAAAACAGCAACTGACAAACCCAGTCTGGTGCCCTCAGATACAGGTAATGAGATGACTTCTTTTGCCTAAGATATAAATGTGAGTAAATTGGTTGTAAAGGAACTTGATGCAAAGTTTTCAGCAATTCCAATGTAAGACAGGAAAATCTGCAATTGTCAATTCCCGTTTTATTCCCAAAAGTTATACGTAATTATGGATGCAATTAAATTTAATTTAATTGCATCCATTAATTATATAATATTAAAATGTTTTTTTATATTATAAAAATAGTAAAAGTTTGCTTAATGCTTCGTTGCTGACAAACTGCAGAAGATTCCTGATGTTAAACCAACGCGTCGGCCTCATCTCAACGAGTCCATCATGCAGGCACAGTCGAGTGAAAGTATTTGTCCCCTTTCTGGTTTTCAACATTTTTTTTTGCATATTTGTCATACTTTAGTGTTTTCAAAGCATCAAATCCATTCAAATATTAATCAAAAGAACACAAGACAAAATGCAGCTTTTAAATGGCGCTTTTAACGGAAGGGAAAAAAATATTCCCGCTTAACCTAAGAACTGGTTGGGCCAACCTTACCAGTAACAACTGCAATCAAGCCTTTGTCTCTTCCATCTGTTGAGCAATTTTGCTCCACAAGTATTTGCAGAATTACTGTTATTTGACATTGGAGGGTTTTCAAGCACAAAAGGCTTTTTTAAGGTCATGCTACAGCATATTAATAGAGTTCATGTCAGGAATTTGTCTAGGCCACTTGTCTTTTTTTTTTTTTTTTTTTTTTTTTCCCTTCAGCGATTTAGATGTGGACCTGCTGGTTGTTTTGGATGATTGTCCTTATGCAGAACGTTTCAACCCGAGGTCAGGAACAGATGGCTGTAGAATCTTGCAGATTATTCATGCTTCCATTTATCACAAGTCTTCCAGGTCCTGAAGCAGTAAAACAGTCCCAGACCATCACTCTACCACTACCATATTTTACTGTTGGTATGATGTTCTTCTGAAATGCGATGTGACCTTTACACCAGATGTAATGTGACATGCACCTTCCAAAGAATTCAGAATTGTCATTTCACAGAATGTTTCTCCAGAAGTCTTGGTGGATTATAAAGATGTTTCTGGGAGAATTGAGACAAACTTTCAGGTTCTTTTTCAACAGTAGTTTTCATCTTTGAAGTCTACCATGCAGGCCATTTTTGCCCAGACTCTTCTGATGGTGGATGCATGAACTCTAACCTTAACTGAGACGAGTGAGGCCAGCAGTTCCTTAGATCAGTGACTGCCCTGCATGTTTTAGGTATTTCTTTGCTTCAGTCCAGCTGATTTCAATCGATGACTGATTAACAGCCGTTTGTTGAATCAGGCACATTAAAACAGGGAAACCTCTAAAACATGTAGGACAGTGTGCCTTGAGGACCTGGGTTGGGAAACACTGCCTTAGATGATGTTGTGGGGACTTTTGTCACCTCTTGGATGAGGCGACGCTGAGCTCTTGGTGTAGGTTTGGTCACCCAGCCTTCTGGGAAGGTTCACCACTGTTCCATGTTTTTGCTGTTTGTGAGTAATGGTTCTCACTGGGGTTTGCTGGAACGCCAAAGTGTTAGAAACAGCTGGGGAGACCTTTCCAGACTGATGGATCTCAATTACTTTCTCTCGTTTATTCAAAATTTCTGTGGATCTCGGCACGACGTCTAACTTTTGAGGACCTGCCTCAGCGTATGAGGCAGGTCCTAATTAAGTGATGTCTTTACTGAGAAGAAGTGTGGCAGTGGCTAGGGTGATTAACCTCAACTAAGTTATGCAGGGATGGAGAGCTGTAGACGGGTCTCAACCTGTTTTATCTTGTTCTCTGTGTTAGATTGTTAGGCCTCCATCTTGGTTCCATTTGGGTGGACCTCGATACATTGGGTCAAAGCCAGTTCAAGACTCAAAACTTGACTCCCTTTTATCTTCACAAACAACAAATTGAATGTCAATTAAAAGCAACATCAGTGTGCATCTGTATTCCACCATCTCAGGAAAAAATGCAATATGATGATTGCTAATGACCTTGAAATCTTGTTGTAGGTGACTGTTTACAACACCAAATGGCAATTGCTCCTATCATTTAAGAGTGCGTCTATTAATTTGTGGTCTAGCTTTTGCTGATCAAAAACCTGACAACAGAACTATTAGATTTTCTTTTAAAAACATGCAGAATTTGAAGAAGGGGGCTGGGGGGCGGGTATGCAGAGCAACTTTTAAATTTTTTCCACCATCAGGATTAACAATGTGAACTTGCAAAGTGAGTGGAATGACATCTAGTTTTACTAGGCATTTATAGTGGACATAAGGAAAAGTGAGTAGCAGTGTCTAATTTACTAACATCAACCTTTGGGCAAATGTGACAACTAATCTGTGTTCAAATACTTATTTAACCCCTAAAGCCTGAGCATTCCTGGAACCAGGGCAATTCAGCATATCCACCTACAAAATCAGTCCAATTTCAAAGGAAAAACAAACATGGAAATATATGTTAAACCTGCATACCTGAAAAAACGCACAGCAATACTGATTTAGCCACACATGTAACCTTTTAAGGCACAAACTTTGCTCTTTCCAAGTTTACCAGTGTTGCTGCTATAGAAACAAAATTCACTGAGCCAGCAGCCGATTAAGAGGAAAAATGAAGCTTGTGTTTTTTTTTTTTTTCAAGCCAAAAACATAAATTCACTCTTGCCGTTAAAGTTTTATGGTCATAATCCATGTCCATCTCTTCTCCATGTGATTCTTAACTGTTTTGGGCTTTTTCTGTCACTTGTTCACAACATGAGTTTTGGAAATCCCACAGATATTGATGGTTTTTGGAATTTCTCTTTTATGAGGCAATTTGCATGCCTGTATGGACCAATAATAATATTAAAATGCCTAATTTATTTCCAGGATATGGGTTAGGAACAGTACTTTTTTTTTTGCTTTTATTCGGATCATATATAGATTTATTTTTTTATGACAACTTCATTAGCTTACTCGGTAACACTTTATTTGAAGGGGGTGAATAAGACTGACTTGACACTGTCATAAACATGACATAACACCTGTCATGAACATGAATAAGTCTTCATGAATACTTATGACTGTTGTCATAAAGCTTCATTCGGTAAATTATGACACTTTTAATACAAAGTTGACATTATTCAAAGTGTCTCTTTTATGACAACTTGACATTAACCAAGAAATCATTACTGTTTAAACTTTACCTTTAATAACATAAAGTTACCTAATTTTTAAAGTGCAATCAGTAATACTTTTATAACAAATTTATATCAGTAATGATTTCCTGGTTAATGTCAATTGTCATAAAGACATTTTGAATAATGTCAACTTTGTATTAAAAGTGTCATAATTTACCGAATGACGCTTTATGACAACAGTCATAAATATTCATGAAGGCTTGTTCATGACAGGTGTTATGTCATGTTTATGACAGTGTCATGACAGTCTTATTCAACCCCCTTCATATAAAGTGTTGCCGCTTACGCTTACTGTTTTTTTTTATTTATCATACATGATTGTGCAATGTAAGCTTTAGACGATGTGTCAATGTATGACAGCATTTAATAGCTTAGATATTCCTTTATTGTGACAATTTAACAACAAGGTTTTGTTTTAGAAATGAACTTTTTGCATTTTGTGGTGTTGGTGTCAGAAGGTCTGGTCTTGGTTTGGCCTTGACCTTAGACGGTGCGGTCCTGGTCCGAACTGGTTTTGACTCTCTGCAGTTGTCTTGACAGCTGAGGGGCAATCTCTCTTTTCACATTTTTTTAAAATGAACATATTAATTTAAAAATGGTTTTTGTGTTTACTTGTGTTGTCTTTGACTAATACTTAAATTGATTTATTTCTGAAACACTTGAGGGACAAACATGCAAAAACAGGAAATCACGCCATCTTTCCATGCCAGTACATGGCCATGACAATATAGACTCTATATTTTTGTGGTTTTGACCAAGTAAAACTGTGAGGTCTGAAAAATGATCTTTGCAGTAGAAATATCAAAATGCTTAAAATACTTTGTTTTTCAACCTAAAATGAAATGCAGAATAGTGAGATATTTGCATTGTACTCACCGACAAATGGAAAATGGGTTTTAATCTAAAGTCTTTCTAAACAGGATGTGTGCTCACAGCACTTTGAATATAGATTGATATTCAAATGTCATCTATAGATAAAATGACCTTACCTTACAGAAAATTCTCTCTGTTTTGGAGATAAAGTTCAGTTTATTTCTTTTTTGTTTTTGCCAAAGAAAAAAATGTTGGCTACACAGAAATTGTAATTTCAAAACAGAAGTGCACTTAGAGCTTGTAAATGACAGAGTTTAATGTAGATACAAAAATGTCTTTGCACATGTACTGTACAGATGTTTTCCCCAGGTAGCATTCAGGTAATTCCAATTGATACAAAATATTCTTCCCTGTCAGTTGATGGTGCAAAAATGTTATGGTTTTAGTTACTACACAGCTACTTAAACTGTTTAAGTAGCTGTGTAGTAACAAACTGTTAGTACCCTAACCACCATTTTATAGGTGGTTAGTGGAGGGTCACTTCTAGCAGAGGCAAGAGTAGGTTTCCATACTCTCATGGGTTGAATATTAGGACCATTAGATTTCTTGGTGGTCATTTGGTACAAATAACTTATTCATTGGAAAAATATAAAATTAAAAAAATATCTGAAATTTTACCTGAAAGTCGGTCTGTATTTTTATATCAGTTGATCCCTAGAAACAAAAGCAGTTAGATCTATTGTAAACTGTGAAAATGTATTTTCTCTGAAAATGAAGTAACTTCTTAGAAGTCTAAGTATGAATGAAAACTCCCCAAATTTGGCTCGATCTTGCATGAAATTAGTTTTCTCTTTAGAAATGGCTCCACAAATCCCTCAGCCATTTCAAAACGCCTTCCTCAATTGGCTGACTTTATTATAGAGGTATGAAATTTGTAGAACTTCCCAAGACCTATGTAGATGTTGCTGTAGACGACAAAATGCAGCAAGCATTGTTTTGTATGAACTACTACTGAACTAACACTAAACTGCTCTGAACAGTTGAAAATAATAAAAATGCTGCTTTTGCTTCTTTCCAAAATCAGTAAAAACATGAGAAAATTTAACTTGTTGCATCTGTTCGTCTGCTAATCTAAATACCATGACTGGAGGTCCAACAATTTGTCAATGTAACTGATATATATATATATTTTTTTTTCCAATTCCATTTTTCGTTTTGAGTAGCCCTTTGTAAGTCACCGCCTATCTGCCGTTCCTGTCTTCCAACATTCCAGGGCGTCGCACCACTCTCCCTTCCCCCTGCGCAGACAACAGTCACATTGGCATTATGACCATCCTGTACAATAACATTGGCAAGGACTTGTCCAGAGTGTCAATGCCAGTGGCTCTTAATGAGCCGTTGTCTTTGCTTCAAAGACTTAGTGAAGAGCTGGAGTACTCTGAGCTGCTGGACATTGCCAATAATACCGATGACCCATATCAAAGAATGGTGAGTTTAGTTTTCTTCAATTCATGAAAGTAAATTATAGTCTATTGATGATTAATAGCTCTAAATGTTCCTAGGTGTATGTGGCAGCATTTTCCATTTCTGGCTATGCCTGGGCATCTTGGAGAAATCGCTACAAACCATTCAACCCCGTCCTTGGAGAAACCTATGAGAATCACAGGGAAGACAGGGGATTCTACTACATCAGTGAACAAGTAATAATCAGTGAAGTGATAACTGACTTATTGTCTAAGAAAAAATTAAAATGCTGTTTTTTTTTATATTTTGTTAGGTTAGCCATCATCCACCAATCTCGGCCTGTCATGCAGAGTCAGAAAATTTCACTTTCTGGCAAGGTAGGAGCTGTGTATTTATTGTGTGATAAATATACCTGACATATTAAGTAAGTAAATGTTTTTATTTATTTTTTTATATCTGTCCATAGATCAGAGATGGAAAAACAAGTTTTGGGGAAAATCGGTGGAGATAATCTCCTCTGGTCTGGTCAACGTTGCGCTCCCAAAGTGAGTCACAGCTGATCAGAAATTTGACTAACTAAATTTGACTATGTGGCTCTTCTGTTTTACACAGCTGTGTTTGTTTGCAACCAACAAATAACAGGTAGAACTGCAGAGCTTTCGCTTGCATTAATGAATGCAAGCGAAAGCTCAAATATATAGCTAGTCGTTTCAAATGGCAGGACAGGTTCCTGTCCTGCCATTTGAAACGACTAGCTATATATTTGAGTTAATAAAGTTTAATTTTCAAACAAAGCTGTAAAAGGATTGTAACATTCTGGTGCGAGTACACAAGTTGGTTTAAAAAGATCTTGATCATTTTTATTGGTGGTTAGTGGAGGGTCACTTCTAGCAGAGGCAAGAGTAGGTTTCCATACTCTCATGGGTCGAATATCCTTAGTATTATATTGGAAATCTTTACTAACACTGCATCAGATTTTTTTTTCTGAATGCCCAGAATCTGCTAAATTCATAGGCAACTGCTGTGTGAGGTTTACTTGAAGGCTTTTCAGAAAGAAACAAAAGGTCTCGTCACAACACGAGGAAAAAGTGTGTGGGGGGACACTGACGAGGGGCCACAGCTGAACATGGCTGACCTCGCATTGTAGCTCCAAAACCTGGCATAAAAAAACCTCCCAAAAAAAGAAGGGTGATTAAAATCTTGGCCCCAGTCTGAGCTCATATGATGAAAATGTTTGACTTGGCAGGTAAGGAGAAAAACATGAGGGACTCTGAAACTTTGATTAAAGCTGCCTACACTTTTAAGCCTAATAGATCAATTGTGCAGCATCTCATTATTGGATGCACATTTTAGGGGAAATGTACATGAAGTCAAAAATGTTGTAGGAATATCGATAACCAAATTAAATGCATGTAGGTATGGGGATCACTATGAGTGGAATAAGGCCGTCACCTGCATCCACAATGTACTGAGCCAACAGCGCTGGTTGGAGCATTATGGGGAGGTGGTCATCAGAAACACAAAGAGTGATGAATGCACCTGCAAGATGACCTTTGTCAAGGCAAGATGTTGTCATGTATGCACATTTCGGTTTCCTGTAACTGACTCTAGCCATGACTTATCAGATTCCTCTTCTTTTTCCTTTAGTCTCGGTATTGGAGCTCAGAGAACAGTAAGAATGAGATCCAGGGAGTCGTTTTGGACCGGGCTGGAGAGGTGGTTCATCGTTTTGGAGGCTTCTGGCATGAAGGCATTTTTTGTGACACTATGGCCACACCAACATGCATCTGGAAACCTAGTGAGAACAAAATGTTTGCAATAAAGTCCTGAAGATGTGGTGAAAGTACTATTAGAGCTATGAAGAAATATTTAGACAACTCTAACTTCCTTCTACCTAGTGCTTCTTTCACGAAAGATTGAACTAAACACATTTTCATTTATCAAAATTGGTTAATTCTTACAGTCTACAATGTTTTTTTTTTTGTTCCGTCCAGATGTACAGCCTGATGACCACTTCCAGTACTATGGTTTCTCACGCTATGCCAGAGAACTAAATGAAATGAGTGCGGACTTGGAAATCATCCTCCCCCCTACAGACACGCGCTTCCGCCCAGACCAAAGGTAATGAGCAACTTTTAGATTTCATTTTAAAACGCATATTGTTGAAGTTCTTTTGTGCAGTTTGACAACCTCCATTCCACTCATTGTCATACAGGCTCTTGGAGGAGGGGAAAGTGGCTGAGGCGGATAAAAAGAAAGATCAGGTGGAAGAAAAGCAAAGGGACAGGAGGAAGGAAATGGACAAGAGAGGAGAGGAGCACATCCCTAGGTTCTTCAGGTTAGAAACAAAATTCTGATTTATAATCATTCAAGTACAGTTTATTAATGACAACTAGCACCAAAGGACTGCAATGAAACGGAGAAAAATAAACAAATGCAATTTAGACATCAGAGTTCAAACCTAACCTGTAGCCTTGAAGACTGTTCAGTATTTTAAGATGGAGAAAAGGACAAGTATCTGTTTCATCTGGTAGGTTGTAATTAGATTTTAAGTACAGTTTCAAATGAGAGATTCAACATACAATCTTAAAAACCTGTGCTCTTCTAAAGCAAACTGGATTGTTTTTGTTTTTCTTCGGGTCATTAGAATGCATGGATTTTTCATATTCTACAATGCTCAGGCCTAATATGTGTTATAGGTGTTTTGTGCCAGGGCCCAATAAAGGGAGACAAAACCATCAATTTAAATTGTTTTTAGCAATTTAGACATTCCAATTGGGATGTTTTATAAACTGTAAAAAAAAGAAAAATCAAGACCCAGAAATAAAAGTAGTAATAAGAATTCAGAGTAGCCCCATTTTTTTAAAAAATTGCCAAGACTTTCTTGATGTGAATATTTACCTGTAGATGTTAAGAAAGTTGCTTCATGTGGTTACAGCTGACACCTCAGTCTGCTGTCAGAAGGGTGTAGAAAACGTATTCATGAGTTTTTGACTTGAAAGGAAAAGAAACTTTATTCTCAGATCGGAACAAAAATTTTAATACAAAGTTGATTTTGGGAATTCATTATAGTTAAGATTATTAAAATTTCTTGACAAGTTTTGTTTTTGTTTTCCAGAAAAGTGGTTGATGAGGCTGGCAGAGAGGTGTGGCTATACAATGGAACTTACTGGAAGATTCGCCAAGATCCAGGTTTTTCGAAGACTGAAAATCTAGACTTGTGGTAGAATACTGAAGCTGGCCTAAAATCCCATAGGACATGAAATGAATCCAGTGAAGCACATCACTGTGATGCTCTGTAGACAAACGGAGATTGTGTGTTCGCTCTTACATTTAGAATCAGGATAGCATGACTGTTTATAAAAACATGAATTAATCTTTTGTATAAAACTTAGAGGGGAGATGCAACAATGAAACCAATTAACCAAATGATCTTCTGTTTAAAGCGTCTGTAAAGGAGCCTTTTTTTTCCCCACTAAACTTGTCTATCTTTATGTCTGATCTTAAAATCATAGAGAACACATTTTACTTTCAAGTTTAACATGTCTAGGCCAGGACACTTTCACTACAGCAGAATCTGCTGAGCTGCACTATTTTTTTTTTTCTCCTTCAGTGGGTCCTGCAAAAAAAAAAAAAAAAAATATAAGGTTGACGTGTGTTATATTTTATTTCATTTGGTTGTGGAATTATCGTTTTGTGGTAATTTGGGTTATGTTGTATATATTCAAGCCTTATTAGTTATTTTGCTTGAATAAATGGAAATACTAGAATTATTTGCAACACATTTGCTCTTAGCTGTTGTAGCTTTTACCAAAGTTAATTTTTTGCAAAAATACTGGAAAATCTCTACTTGTGTTTTTTTTTTTTTTTGCTTTGTTTTTTGGGTTATTTGTTTTTTGGGTTATTTGTTTTTTATTATTACCTATCCAAAATAAACAATCCTATAATCTGTTCTGCCTTTCTGTGAGCTGTTTAGTTGGTTCTTGATGAGGGAAGGATAAACATAACTTGATATAATTTTTCAAAATATGCCAAGTTACTTGAGTCTTTAGTTAGCAAATAGTATTTTAAGCAGTGGTGGATATATACTCAAAATTTACTTAAGTAAAAGTACAAATACACAGACAAATGTACTCAAGTAAAAGTAAAACTACCACATTAACATTTGTACTGAAGTAAAAGAAGAAAAGTACAGGCTTTTAAAAATACTTGAGTATTAAAAGTAAAAGTACTTGCTGAATGCATTACCTAATCCCTAATACAATATCATTAAGTGAACCGATTGTATTTAATTTTAATACATTAGAAATGTGCAATTTTAATGAACAATGCCACAGATAAAGCATGTTTTTATTATGTTAACTCTCTGTAACATAGTTTAGACTTAGATATGTGATTCTATGCATCATAATTTCAGGGATAAAAACATCTCGTCTCCTGTCCTAACATAGCATGAACTTCACTTTATTTTTTTGCCACTAGTGGCTTTTATTTTGAAAGAAATCCAACAGAAAGGGGATGGAAAGAACGTGGGTGGGGGAGGACATGCAACCAGGAGCCAGTAGCAGAGTTGTAGTCAAGACCACCGCACCTGAGACCAAGTCTAGACCAGCACCCCGCGCTACGTGACACAAAAACATTAAGTTTTACCTTCAAAATTGCTTCTCAAATTGATCTGAAAGATCCACATTCCCATAAAACACCTAGATATTAAATACTTAGAGCTGAAATAAATTTAATCAGTAAAGATCCGTCCAGAAGAATCGGATCGTTCCTGAATGTCATATCACTATATTGCACTTTGGTCACAGCGTTGTTCCATATTTGTGACACCTCATTCAACACCTCCACACAATAATTCAGCGCATGAGTGACAACTTTTTTTCATCGTAGATGCAACATGTCTCTGTACAGCTAGCTTTGCTAGCATCACGTCCACAGATCTTACCTTTCTTTAAGCTTTCCTTCCAAGTGACGCTAAAAGTTGGACGAAGTCCCCACCGTCTGTGAAAGCGAACCCTATTATATTACTGACGATCAGACAGACATCTTCTCCTGCTCAGAGGAAACCACTGCGCATGTCTGTGCGCAAATCAGCTCCATTGATGGGGCCCCTTAGTTTCCCTATGCCTTGAGCCGGCCCTGCTGGACTCCCACAGACCGAGTTGTCAGCTAGTTGTAGTGCTTAGTCCCTTTGGTTTCAGAGAGAGATTGACGAAAAACAGAAATGTATGCTTTTATTTATCAATATAGATCCTCTAAAACCACACAAAAAAAATCAGAATATTTTTCTATAAAAACCCTTTGAGCATTAAGTTTAAGTTATACTTCATAGAATTTCATTAATTCTGCTAGTTGGTTCTCAGCCATCCAGGTCATGGCAAAACCAAGCATAAAGCAACTTAGCAAGTTATAATTTAAATAACACATAACTTGCAATATTTATGAGGAATTTTATCAAGTGGAGTTGCTCATTAAAACATGTTTTTAAATTTTTGTAAAGGTGTGCCAGGGATTATATCTGTGCCACTGAACCAAGCTCATATCTAAACATTTAAATTTTAGACTTTTATGGGTCTCAATAGTTTGCATACTGAGAAAAACATGTTTGAGCATCAACACTTACTAGTCATTTCTGGTCTTGCAGTTTGAACACAAAAATTTCTAAAACATATTTTACGTTACATTTCACTGTAACTTTGCAGACTCCCCAAAATTATAAAATGTCCCTGTTTATTATCCCCCTGAATAATGAATTGGGATTTTCCTCCCTTACATGTCTACAAACATTAGTCATGAACTCCAGGTTTCTTTGGTATCAAATCATACAAATCTCATCTCTTCCAACCCATTTCTTGTGAAAGAAAAACTGCTGGTCTTCTTGGCAGTCAAACATTTCTGACGCCTACACTGCCAGACAAGACATGGTAAAAAAAAAAACAAGCTTTGGGGCTTACAATAATGTAAATCTTTATTTTTAATAGTTATCCAAAATAACTATATATCTATTTAGATGCAGCACATCCAGCCAGACCAGGATGTGCTCATCCTGGCCAGCTTTCCCTGGTTCCCTTCTATATAGATATATATATCTAATTAAAGCTATATATAGATTTAATCATGTGAAATGCATCACTTAATAGCACAAACAGCTCAAATAATACAAATTATTAGAGGCTGCAAATTCCAGACAATACGGGGCACAAATTCTTTGAACAGGGTTTATTTTAAAACATTGTTTCTGATGATGTGGTTAAACATCAAGCGTTCCAGAGAAATTTCATTCAGTAATATACAGCTGATATCTTCAGTTTTAATTTCAACAGTGATCACAATAAGTTTCCATGCCACATCATTTTTTAGCTTCCATATTAGGAGAACACAACTTGTAAATGAATTCTACTTGTGTGTTTTGTTAGGAAGAGCTGGGATGGTTGTACATAACCAGACACTATTCACATGTTGGTGCTCATCCTGGTCTGGCTGTTGGCTGGTGTCAGCTCACCCTGGTTCCCTTCTCTGGGTGGAGACTGAAAAGGAGAAAAATACTTAAACCACAGGCTTTTGGTGTCAGCACTATAAACTGTATATTTGCAATAATTTACTTTAAACTTTAGTCATGAAGGAAAAAATCATCCATTTTGGAACAGACTGGAAGAAATGAAGCACTGTAAATACAGTCAGGGTACACCGTGTATGAATAAATAAATGTTTATTACAAATGTTTTTGTTTTAGCAATTTAAGTAGAGCTTGAACTTTATAGGTAGGTGCAAAAATTCTGATTTGTAGTTTATGTTTTTACCTTGACATGGATCTGGTTACGAAGCACAGCAGCACGGAGGATCATCGCTTTTGCCCGTCTCTGGAACTCTTTTCCCATGTGGAGAGATTTTTCAAATGTGGTGCTCCTCTGATCCACGTCCCTCGCATATAGAATCTGTTAACACCAGCAGATTTTCAGAACTGAACCAAAAATCACAAAATCGCAGTTTTTGACTCTGCAAATTTTCACCTTGCTATGGGAGTCAATACGTGCGTTGACAAGGCCCTCCAGTATCAACTGCGTAAGTTCATCTTCCAAAGCTGCTACTGTGGTGTTGAAAGCCTGTGCCATCTTTGTCATGTCAGCCGATACATAGGGACTGAAATACTGAACACACACAAAAAATATTTACCTCTACATCTAAAGTGCAGTGAAAAACAGTTGGATTCCAATAACTTTCTTGTTTTGACATTTCAGACTTAAATGTTTTAGATAAACTTTTAATATCACATAACCAGAGCAAATACAAAACTGGAGTTTTCAAATGATTTTAGTGAGGAGAAAATACTAGTCAATAAACCTAACTGGTTGGCAATGAGCCTTTTCAGTGCAGTCTCTTCTGAGAAAGAAGAGAGAAGAGTTTGTCAGAGTTTTCTCACAAGAGAAACTCTTTAAAGGATTATTTTCATTTTGCCATACTGGAAGGTTTTTCAGCATAAAGAAAGAGGTTATTGCTGAATCTGGACAGCTGCTTGCATTGCTTGGCATGACCTGAACTAAGTGTTTGTGAGGTTAAGGACTGAAGGATGCCAGTGTGCAGAATTCATATCTACATCAATTGCGGCAACTTGCCCAAGTCCCGGAGTTGGTAAAACAGCTCCAGATCATCACCCTGAGGGTGTGACTTTTCTTTGCTGAAATGCAGTGTTACTTTTAGAATAGAACAAAACAAAATATGCTTTATTTATCAAGGGGGGATTGCTTAATAGTTAAGTTACTCCATCTAAGGTGTTAAATATTAATAATACAAATAACTTTACTTGGGTATAATGAGTCTCTGGCTGAAGGGCTCCTGTATCCAGCTAGCACAACATGAAGTGGATGAGACTTGTAAAGGCCCCAGTATGCTCGGGCGTACTTCAGTCCGCGGACTCAACGCGGATTCCGCAGAGGGACTCGAAGCGGACGTCCACCGGACATGTCCGCGCAAGGATAGATTTTTATGAGCGCATACGTGTACTCGGTGCCGCACAGTAAACTGCCTGGTGGAAACGGTGTTCACATCGAACTGGTTTTCATGTGACACCGGGCTGATAAGGTTGATAACTATAACTTTACTCATATAACCCAGGGTTATACGAGTTCATATTGTTTCAATGTTGAGATCAACATGATAAAAGTCAACATAAAGTTGTCATGGGGAAGTGATAGACACGTAAGCGAAAATACTTAACAGCAACAGGCTTTATATATTCAAGCAAATATTGACAATTATGCAGAATTATGAGAACAAAAACAAGACATCATCCCAGACTTCTTTATCACCAGCGGAGCAGAGAGGTGGTCCGATAAGTTCAGTCTGACTTTTTTTTTCTCCCAACAACGGCAAGGAATAATGATCGGGTATGTGCTCATTTTCGATTGGTGCACAAATTATTACACCGATCACAATTGTGCTTTCGGAACATAAACAGAGCTTATTGAATGGATCCCCAATTACAGCTAAAGCCAGCGCAGCCTCCTGCTGCTCCTCTGCCCGCAGAAAGAAGCTGCGCTGCTCCGGGCAGCGGTTCACCGTCTTTGCCAGATGAACCGACATGTCACTGCCTTTCTCTGTCCCGCACTGAGAGGTAAGTTAAAGCTTCTTGAGTTAAAGCTTCTCAGATGGAGAAGAAACAGAGCTAGGGGCCCAAATAGTTAATCAAACTTGCTAGTTCTCATTAGGATTGTGTGAAATAAAGGAATTTGTCACGGAATTTGTTCTCAGTACGCTCGAGTATGAAGACACGGAGTCCGTGGACAGTACGCGCGGTTCATGGAATATATGATTGAATATATGATATTTATGATTTTCCACAATGTCCACACTGACGCCCTGGTCACCAGAATCCTGGTCCTTCTCCTCAGATCCACCACCAGTTCCTTGCACCAGTTGCACCCACAAAGTTTTTTTTTTTTTTACACCAAATGTAAATGGACTTATATAGCGCTTTTCC